CCCAGGAGACTGGCCGAGCCCCCGCCCTGGCCTCGCCCTGCTCCAGCGCCGGGCCAGGCGGGGCTCGCGGGAGGGGGTGGCAGACAGCTGCTGGGGGAGGGGCTAGGCGGTTCTCGCCCCACCGCGCAGAGGAGGGTCACCCAGCCCTAGCACTGGGAGTTGCAGCCTTACCCCAAACTAACCTAGCAGGCTCCTCCCAGGGGATCCGTCAGTCTTCCTGCAGGCCCGGGAATTAGGGGAGGGAGAACTTTATGGGAGGCTCACCCCAGGGGGTACCAGCCCCACCTCAAGGCCTCCCCTTCAGATTCTTCTTCTTCTTTTCTTCTTCTTTTAAGAATTATTTAGAGGCCGACAGGCGACATGGAGGTTAAGTGCACTGAACTCCCGCATGGCCAACCATGGTTCGAGTCCCGGACCTGGCAGCTTGCTTTCTCATTTTTTTCTCTCTCTCTCTGTTCCTCTCTGGTGCAATGAAAGTAAGTAAATAAATACTTTTTTTTTTTTTAAGAAAAAAAAGAATTATTTATTTAATTTTATGTATGCATTCGTTTATTTTGATTTGACCAGAGAGAGAGAGAGGGAAAGTGAGAAAGCAAGCCACCAGGTCCGGGACTTGAACTGTGGTCAACCATGTGGGAGTTTCCAGCACTTTAACCATCGTGACACCTGCTGGTCCCTGAGATTCTTCTTTTTAAATTTTGCCTTACGGTGCATACTCTCCCTGGAGAGACAGAGAGAGAAGGGGGGGCAGCGAGAAAATACACCCCCTCCCCCAGGGAAGATGGTCACTCCACAATTCCTTTTCGTCCATTTCTCCCTCCTTTGAGGATATTGGGCTTGTACACACACAGGCACTCCGTGTGTTATTCAAGATGCCGGGTCTAGGGCTTGAACCATGTAGTCAGCCATGTGGGATGCAGCTGCCTTAACCATCAAGCCACTGGGTGCCCCCCCCCAGCTTCTTAAAGAGTCCTCATCCTGTCTTAAACCTTATCCCAAAATGAGGTTTCCAGCCTTACTCCAAATTCTCATTTCTCCACCCAAATCCCAGAATTGGATGCCCTGGTCTCACCCCCAAACTCTCACCCCAGGTTCCAAAACACAATTTCTGTTTTTCCCCACACCTTCAATCCCCAAATAAAGGGTCTTGGGGTCAGCAGGTGGCATGGGGGTTATGATGCTGGACTGT